ATGATGATACAAAGAAGGTTTTAAGAAAACAAATGACAAACTGGATTTGAACCAAGAACCTTCTGCATGAAGAAGCACCAGTCTTTCCTCTACGCCACTATGTCCTACATGCATTTCAGATCTGGTTTCTTCCTATCATGGTACCAGCAAACTTCTGGGTTCCAGTCTTTGTGCTCAACCTCCTGAAGCTCTGATGGAGCTGCATCGACATCACACAGAGTCAACACATCCTGGAAACTTCAGCTTGAGACGGGATGTGAGCGGCTCAGGGGTGGAGCTCAAAAAACAGAAAAAAAACCACGTTGGACTCAGGAATCGAACTGAGCACCTTCTGGATTTCACAGAAATCTGAGCCGAGCAGCTCTGGACCAGCTTCACCCTCAGAGCTGCTGTCAGCTGCAGAAACAGGAGGAGAGGCTCAAGCTTCAACGTTCTGCTCTTCACAACCACACTTTTAGGACTTTACATGAGCAGAAATTGTCATTAGAGTTACCAGAAAAGAAAAACAGGACACAAAGCTTCATTTATAAATGTTTGTTTTTTTTACATCCCAAGATCTCAAATCAGAAAGACAATAAACCTGCAAACATTTAAAAACATTATTAATATAAAACAGACAAATGACGTTACATTATTGTCGAGAAGCTACCGGTTACACTTTTTAAACAAATAAAATGTCATCAGCAGAACAAAACGATCAAACAAAAATACAAATGAAGCTGCAACAATAAAGTAAACCAATAATCATAATCCAATGATGTAATATTGTATAGACAACTTTGAAATAAATGCTATTATTTGAGGGACTTTAAGCAGATTTTAATGATAATATTTTAACTGAATATGTGAATAAGAGGCAAATGATGTGCTTTTAACCTGTTACCAGCAGATTTAATTATGAAACACACAAGATGTATAATGTGACACAACTCAAATCTCCTCTGTTTCTACAACTTTTTGCATCTTCTGAACTTTGTTACTGATTGTCATCAATACTTTTACTGAAGCAGTAGATCCAGCACTAGTGGACGGAACATTTTACAAAAATGTCTGAACTAAAAAAAAGAGAGAAGGCTTTTCCTTACAGCATTAACAATCGTTTCCCTCTTACCTCAGCGAGGACAGCAGCAGCAACTGAGAAACGCAACCAGCAGGATGAAGAACAGCATCCAGCCTTGGCTGAAGCTTCTTCTTCTAGTGGATTATCACACTTGCAACATTTACACATCCTAAAGAGATTCAGGGTCCCTTAAAAACACAATCAGTAGAGAAAGACGCTGAAATCCACCCAGTATATATATATGAACCAGACTCGACCATTAGCATCCAGGATGGGGTGGTATCTACACCAAGAGCTACGATTAACAGCTACACATTATGTCCAACTATTTACACACTTCTTCCAAAGATCACATGAAGTCTGACTCCCTACTCTATCTTTGTAATCGTACTTTAAATACACAAACAACAAACCAAACACAACAACTCATTTCCAATCCCCCCTCTCTTCAGTCCACTTGGTTTGCTCCAATTGAATCCACCAGGTCCTTGTTTAACTCCATCATGATGGAGCCTCAAGGACAAATGCTGAAGTCTTTAAAGAATCTCAGAATGAGATCAGAGACAAGAAAACAACTGATAATAAACTAATGTGTTTATCCAATAAATAGGTTAAATAATAAAAAAAAAAGGATCCATATATATCAGATCAACACACTAAAAACAGACTGAAATTCATGAACTCAAATAATTAGTATGTGACTGGATTTGGGAGTGTTTGTGTCAGAACCTGTAACCAGAGGGGTTTACTAGGAAGCAGGTTCGACACTTTCCTTGTGTCCTCATGATGCTCTTCTTCTGCTGGCTTGTTCTGGGAATCAGCGTCTGTACCATCGAAGAAGATGGAGGAAAATACACGTGGAAGCAGATTTGAAATTTAAAAATTAAAAAAAACATAATCCAAAGTGTGTCAGTAACTACAAGGAGATAAAAAAAAGGATAAAAACACAACCTCAGAGGCACAAAATAAACCCCAAAAGATGCAATGTTACCACAAAAACATGCCAAGTGACCCTTTGAAAGAACACAACATAGACAGAAGAACGTTGTGATTTTCTTCTTTTCTGATTGATGAGACTGAAGAGCCTGATGTTTGTGTCTGACACTGCCCTCCAGTGGAGGAAACATGGAACAACAAGCTGGAAGCAGAGGACACAGGAGGAGATCAAGGCTCCAGGAACACAGGATGGAACGACTGAACGCTTCATTCCTTTGATGGCGTTGTGTCTGTGATGTGATCTGATTCTAACCATCGTTAATCTCATCATCCTGCTGGCTGCATGCTGGCTGCTCCGGTATCCAATCTGCTGTTTTCATATGTGGCTTCATTCCTCTGTAACAAGACGATCCTTCCTGAGAGGTGGGTTGACACATTTCCCTCTGTGCCAGTGCTTTGGTACAAGATGCTAAATTTGTTAGTAGCAAAAGATCACTGATGCAACTGAAGAATTCGGGTTGATGACGTTTATCCAGCTGTTAAATTGAGTAAAGATGGTACATGTCACACAACTCACTGTTTTCTGTCTCTGATCATTTAAGTCTCACATTTAAATCTTTATTTAATTTAGTTAATATTTGGGCACCTTTTTATTTAAAGTAAACAGCTCTTAATAAGCTTTATCTTGTACTTTATGACTCTTAAATGCTTTTATTAAATCTTAGCGTTGATTTTGTGGTGGTTTCTTAATTGTTGCCATCGTAACTTGTATGATGGAGTATTATTTTTAATTTAGTACAAAGCAGCAACACCTACATTAAATAGGATATAACCATCTGTGGCCACAATAAAGCTGCTGATCAGGTGGTAACATGAGACGAACATCAACAACATTTTATTATTACTGATTAATAATTAATAATGGAGCATATTCAGGTGTTCATCGTACTGTTTCCTCCTTCTTTAATACCAAATATACACTGAATTAAAGGAAATGTGCACTTTAACTAGAAAGAATTACAATTTTAAATGATTAAACATCAGTATTATCACATTTACTCTCTCATTTAATGCATTTCAGATCATCATTATCCAGATTTTTGATGATTTGGAGTGTTATTTTCTAGGTTGTTGGGACTTTTGCGTGTTGATATCCAGATTATTAATACTTTAAAACATAAATATCCAGGTTATTTAATACTTTGGTGAGTGTGTTTTCCAGATTTTTGATTCTTTTTCACATTATTAACATTATAATCCAGGTAAATTTTGTTTTGATGCATTAACATTGATGCTTTGCTACAATAATATCAAGGTTATTGATATTTCTCTAAGTTAATATCCACATTTTAATACTTTGGAATGTTGTTTTACTGTGCTATGTCATCTTTTTTGACACTTTTTCATGTTAATTTGATAGTTTTGCAGGCAAATATCGCAGTCTTTCATACGTTTAAACATTAATATCCAGATAACTGACTGTATGATGAGTTATTATCCATATTATTGAGGTTTTGTAACATTAACGACTGGGTTATTTACACTTTAGTATGTTAAAATCAGGGTTTTTGATTTTGTTTTTCATCGAAATATCTTGGTTTTATCAACAGAAACAGCTGCATTACAGTAAAAACGGCTGCAACGTGTAAAATAGTGGCAAAGAGGAAACATAACTCTCGACATAACAGCTTGAAAAACACGAATCACAACTGTAGAAATATCTCCTTGGCATTTATTGGAATGCCAGCATTGAAATCCAGATTTGGTACAGTACAAGGCTATCCAGTATAACTGAGATCTAGGCAACAGTGATGGTCCAACAACAGTCATTCAAACTGCATCTTCATATATTAATACAACTTTTTTTTTTTTTTTTTTTAAACCCCAAGACAGGCTGTTGAAGAGATGACTAATACAAATAAAAAGGGGCGAAGGAAAGCGGCGACGGTTAGTCGCGTTGCTGCGGGAAGAAAACAGGACAGGACTTGTCTCGGTGAAACCTGGGAAACATTATTCGAACGGATTTATTCTTTTTTTTTTTTTAAATGCCTGAATTATTTCCATCTAAATTCAAATACATGTTCCAGGTTCTGAGTGTGATTGTTTCAAAAGGAGACAAAAGTAAATCAGGAATGGTCAGTATGTCTGGTGAAGTGTTTTTTCTTTTTTGTATGTTTGCACCCATTTGATGACCAGAAAGGTGTTCATGATGGAGCTGTCCTGTTAGAGCGTATGACACATAGCAAGATCACCCATATACACAGAGAAGTGCATTTATACAGGACTCATGTTGATTAATTACATATTACAACCCTGTGAGGATATAATAAGTACATATATATACGAGGCACGCAGAAATTAAAGATTTATCACCTATTATTAACCTACTTGCAGTAAACATTTTATCGGAGGATCCTTTGGGCTGAGTCACCTCTTTTCCTCTAATTTGAGAGGACGTCGCCGCTCTTTTGGCAGTTTGTTTGGTCCACTGTCGCTCTATCCGAATGAACAGGTCTGTCAGAGCATCCGTGCAAAGGCTCATGGGACTTCCACAGCGTTGTGAGGTCTCGCGGTGCTTCCTCTGGTTTTTTTTCTTTTTTTTTGTCTCCTCGGCCTCCGCTGAATGCGCTTCGCTGACGCCTAAGACATGACTCCGAATACGGGGTTGTGGCGGCAGATGCTCGGCCCGATCTCCTCGTAGTCTTTCTTGGTGTGGCACACTTGGTAGAACTCGGGCTGCGGGGGGAGAAAGGATCCTCTCGGTTACACGCTCATGACACAAACGCATTTTAACGTGGCGGCGGCGGAGAAGCTGAAAATACTCACAGTAGATGCCAGCATTGATCCTCCGAACCAGACAGCGTACCTCTGCATGTGATGGGTGACGACTTGAACGTCAATGGGCTTGGGCTGCAAACAAAGCCGACTCAAGCTCAGTGGGTTTTTTTTAGAATTAAAGATTAACAAAGACAGTCTGCGAGCGCATCTTGAGAATTTGTAGCACAGTTAACATTGCAATTTCCACCGTCCTCACCTTCAACTTGCCGCCGCTCAGCTCCTCGCTTATTTTCAGCCGTGCATCCACAGTCCTCTTCAGGTCCCTCTGCAGGCGTCTGCCAAAGTCCCTGAACATGGTGGAGCCTCCGGAGAGCACAATGTTCTGTGACACAAGCAGAGGGTCACGGTGACACACACACAGATTAATATTATGTACAGGAGTTTATTTCTGAAAGCAGGTTCCAGAGAAGCTGATGAGAGTTAGTTCAATCAAAGCCTCCCCTCGAAAGCCTTGACACTGAACCCTCTATGACTTAGCTTGTTTGTGAGTTTGTGAGGGTAAAAAGAAAAGTGAATCTTGGTTTAAACATCCCTAAATGCTATAAAGGTGTTTGAAAATACAAATAACTCAACTTAAGTGGGCAGCTTGATGCCGTCACATCAAGATAAACTTCCTATCATATTTCTATCCGACACCATGAATGCTTGGTTTGTGTGTGAGGCAGAACATTTTTGAGTAACGTTTTTCTCTATGAACTCTGGGCAAGTTCCTTACGATGCTCAGATATCACCGTCTCCCTCGTTACTGTTGTGCTCATAAAGGAAGCATGCAAAACATTGTCTTTTTAACTATCAAATATCTATTCTAACGTTTTGAAGATGTCTAAGTCTGCAGATTAATGCATCCCAGTCTGTGTTTTTGTAGCGACTGTATGAATCAGGAAACATTCAGCTCCTTTAGGCTGAGCAGGAGTCGAACACAAAGTCAGAGTTTGTTGAAGAAAACCTGCCCACAAGAAGGTTAGGTTTGCTCAGAGTTTGAGCTCTTTCTGGGAAAATCCAGGTCTTTTCTCATCTCAGGTTTAACAAATTTAGAGTTTTTACTAAACAGCTCATTACAACAGGACCCTGGATGTCACATTACGATGAGCAGATGCACCTTGTAGAGCGGACGCCTGACGTCGATGGGGCAGTTCTGGATGACTTCGTCCACGACTTCGGAGATCGGTTGGGTGAAGTCCGGATTAGCAAACTGGATGGAACCACATATGAATGTTAAAAACAGTAAAGTCACCAGTAAAGTGAAATATGACAGAAATGTGTTACATCATACGAATGTTAGTGAACATGTGTTGTACCTCTGGGTGGAAAAAGATCTCCGGGCCGAGGAAGCGTTCGTATCCAACGTCGATGGTGAACTCCTTCTTGGTGACGGCGTTTGCGCCTGTGTACTGTTTGATCCACTTGGAGCCGTCTGTGTCATACTTGTTGAACTCCTTGACGAGGTCGGGGCAGACGTAGCTGAACCGCTCCTAGAAACAAAACGTCGTAGAGCAACTTTTAGAATGGAGAAAACAGGAAAAATAAAAGTTTCCCAGCAAACATTGTCCTAATTTAAACCTCTTGCATTTATTTTATTTCTTAACCCTGAAGATCTCCTCCCAACTTTTGATCCCCCCCAAGCAGTGAACATGGAAATATTTAGTTTTGCAGGATTCAGCAGGTTCTAATTTAATCAAAAACAGCATTAACTGTCTTTTATTTCTCATGTATTTTGCACAAGAGCGGCATAAAACACACACATGAAGTCAAAATGATCGCTGTAAATTGGATCTTGAAGCATTTTGATGGCCAAAGGGGCATTTTGCAGACCAAAATCTTCCACTTTTACTGACTTTGAAGCTCTGATTGTGTTTCACCTCCAAGTTTTCTGAGCTTGACACAAAAAACTTGCTTTTTCTTCTGGCAAGACTACAATCACTCATACACTCATAAGGATTCAGAATGTGCTGAACCTGGTGATGTCATTTTAGGCATCTTTAGATGATGAATCGGTAAAAGTGAGCGACCGTGGGTGGTTCTGTTGCTGCACTGACCTCTAGTGGCCAAACTGAGAACTACATGACAGCAGCAACACATTATCTGTAATCTGTTGGAAGGTATCACTTCCTTTTATGCCTTCTTTTCTTAGCTTTCCTTACAGAAATAGAGAGTGACTCACTTCCTTATAATGACCAGAACACAGTCAATGATGCTTCACTCTGACTGTGTGGAAGGGACACGCTCATAGTGTAAAAATACACCGCTAATATCAGCAGTTTTCAGATTTTTAAAAAAGTCGGGTTAAGGTTTTGTGTGAAGTTTATGACCTTCTTGTCACATACAAACCTTTCTACACTAAACCTACAGGGACTGAGGGGTTCATTTTGAAGAAAAAGGTGATTGAAACAGCAATATTTAACCAAAGCTCGCCCAAATTTGACCAAAAAAAACCAACCAAAAAACAGTTTTTGGTGGGATAGTGGGAGAAGGAATCACCTTGTTCGAGAAAGTTCTCACACTTCACTCCTGACTGATCAGCTTATATTCTTGTCTTGTGTTGAAATATGGCCGGTACCAGCTGACATGAAAGAATAACTACAACATCTGGGATTCCCAGTCAGCCCAAATATTGTTTGCTTCTTCACCACCTTTGAGGTGAGTTAACAAAGTAACTGGTTTTGTGTCTGGCTCTGTTTATTACAGCCGTGTGGAACATAGTTTACAACAAAATGACAATAAAATTCCTCCTGTCTTGTCGTTTCACAAGACAAATGAAACGCTGGCTAAGTTGATGAACATCAGACACACTGACCTTGACAGCTTTAGCCGTCTCCAGGCTCTGCTCCGGAGGGATCCCCACCTCTCGTTCCCTCAACAGCTGCTGGATGAAGTACGTGATGTCTCGGCCGGCGATGGGGATGTGCTTGATGCAGCTCCCGATGACGTAGCCTTCAGCCTGGAACCCGAAATTGAACAAATTTAGGGCTGAGAGTGAGGAGAAAATAAATAAATGACAAATCAAGCGACACCTACCACCGGGATGACGTGTGTGACTCCGTCTCCGCTGTCGATCACGGTGCCCGTCAGCGTTCGTTCTCCCACCTGTCTGGATGTCCAGGAGGCAGCCAGCGCCAGGACAGCCTGAAACAAATCCAATCATCAAGCAGTTGTCTGTCTTCCAGGATCGAAGGCCTTATTTGACAAATACAATTCCAGCTCAGTGACGACACGGAGGAGGATTTAAATCCAGTGAGTACATTTAACCCACTGTGAAACGCAAAAAGAGGAAGTGAAACATCCGCTAAATCAAAATACATTTAGAGAGAAAATCTAACTCTATCTACAGCCCACAAGTCTGGTTTCAGATGTGCTTCAGCTGTCTGTGAACTTGTTCAACTCAAGTCACACATTCAACATCCAGAAGGCTTTGCTTGGTGCCAACATGGCTTGTCAGGACGGAATGTGTTAGAAATGTTCAGTGAGCTTACCTGAACAGCAATGTAGAGACCTGGGACATTGAAGGACTCAAACATGATCTCTGCTGTGTATTCTCTGTTTTCCGGTGTGTTGAGGGGAGGCTCTGTCTGGAGAGAGAAGGACAGAAGGGATGACAATGAGCAAAATATTCCACAATTTGCTACCAATGCTGAGATTTAAATTATGAACAAACACTAAATGTTTCTGTTCAAACTTAATATGTTTTAAAGAGATTTTTCAAAGCATCCTGTTAATATTTTCCTGTCTTTAGAGATGTTCTTGGTAGTACAATCAGATATCCGGCAGGTTTTTAATCTCCTTATTGGAGTATTTTGTGTAATCTCAATAAAATGACTCAACTGTCAATATTCTAACAGTGCATCAATAAACCAGATCTCCTCTGTTGACTGAGGGAAATGGGGGCAGACTATTGTGCACCTGTGCTGTGGTTAATTAAATTTGCTCGTAGGGAAAACAATCTGCTTTCACTTCTTCAATTTCTGACACAATTTCAGTCTGTGTGTGTTACTTTTTGGATACTCCAGGATGCAAATGTTTATAGTAGTCAACAGATTTCAGGTGTTTATGGTTTTGTTATTGCACTTTTTACAACAGATGTAGTGCTGTTTTAAAGCTAAGTAAGAGGGATTATTTGTAACTCCTAACTCTGGTCATACCAAAAGGAAATAATGGTCTTCAGGTTCTGCCCGCAGATACTTGAAGATGATCTGCTCCATAAACCTCTCCATCAGATCCCAGTCTTCCACGATGCCGTGACGGATGGGCCACTGGAAACAAGGAGAGAAGAACAGCGTTAACACCAAACCAAAAATAAAAGCATTTCACTCATCTCAGCTCTCGTCTGTGTCTACCTTTGTTGCATATGATGGTTTGTCGATGGCTTCGTCCCCGATGAAAAAGTCCAGGTCATCGACACCCTTCATCATCCTGCGCTGGGCCTGGTCTCCAACCTTGGCTGATTCTTTGATTGCAATACCTAGAAGAGCGATGAAGTGAGAACACATACTCAGTCTTTCACAAAGAACATAAATACAGAGAAAGGCTGAAAAGACATGGCTTACTACAATTTCCCTTTATCCAGATAAATCAGTTCATCCTACAGTAATGATCCAGAGCTGGGAGTCATCCTTAAAACTATTTTTTTATTCATCGTGCTACCAGTAGAACGAAGAAAATAAGAAAATTGTACTAAAAAAACGATACAGCTTAAAGGTCCCATATGGTGAAAATTGATTTTTTAAAATTGTGTTTTGGATGTTTTGTATTCCTAGAAATGTCAAATAAAAGCTGTGAACATATCAAGATGTCTATTACTGCCATTCTTTTATCCCCTCCACAACTAAATGTTTAGAACAGGCCTAAAACAGTCCTGGAAAATTTAGAAATCAAATATTATTAGATAAAATACTTGCAGTATTCTAAGCTAAAACCTGACAGACACACTGAGGACATGTGGAACTTTTATTAATTTGCAAAAAAAATATTGGAGAAGTCCCTTAAATCCCACAACAAGTAAAGCCTCTTCTCTTTGGTAATGTCCCTAAGTATTATTATGCATGCAGAGATCTTTGTTTTTGATTAAATGTTGCTTCAGACACAGCTCTACATTATATTTTCATGGGGAAATATGCTCAGAATTTGATCTTTAACTCCTGAAAATCTCTGGCAAGTTGTCTAAATAATATTCATCTCAACCGAGTCTTGCTCCACAGCTGACAGACATGCAAGAAAAAAAAAACTGAGGGTGTAATATGAGTTACAATTTAAGCAGGAGTCATTTCTTTTCCACTGAAAAATATTTTTAAAATGATGTCACTTTTTCTGCAGTCTAAACCAAACACACGTTCTTTGCCTCTCTGTAGCACCACAGAGCTTCATTTATGATTCTGTGACACAATGTGCTTTGGATATTGATATTTGTATATATCACGATTGTTCAGCGCTACTATGTGGTAAAAGGAAGAGGATCTGAAACTGTCCTCTTGAAGCAAATCATAAAAGAAGAATACATATTTAATAGTTGTTCTGTTATGTAATATTCAACATCAAAGTATAATTATAAATGTTAACGAATAACTTCTTGTATGATGCTCTTTAAATATCCATCTATGAACTTAGACATGACTTATGATATTTGTAGTTCCACTCAAAACAGCCATCATTTAATTAAACCTAATTTGTGTTCTTTTCTTTATACTTACATGATGGTATAATGAACTGTGGTTCTGTGTTTCCTGCATAGCCAAGCTTAGTGTACCTAAAAGGGAACAAAATCAGGTTTAGATAAAGGTTTGTGGTTTAAACGTTTGCCAGCGTCGTGCCAAAAACTGATTGCACCCTTTATCCTGAAGCTTAGAAAGTTTACAAACGCCTACAGCATCAGAATCAAACTGTCACAACATGCAAAGAACACTTTATGTGTAGCAATGTCATCCAAAAACATGTTTACAGCACAATCAGGTGTAACAAGTAGGACAAATATAAGCAACACTCCAGTGTTGTTTCCTCCATCTGTTTGGTTTGTCTTAATATTGTTGTTTAGATTGTAAATAATGTGATTTGCAGGCGCATGTTTGTCACAAAATAAGGAAATTATCCAATTTGCAATCATCTGATGGGCTACAATCTGTAAAATGTAACCCTAATTATTTAATTTAAGCCATTTTAATTCACTAATAACATTTCAATCACAATGTACGGGCTGCAATCACTTTTTTTTGGCAAGAAAACTTGATTGTTGACTTGAATTGGTCCTTTTAAGCTATTTCTACCAGCAAAACACAATAAAGTAGTTTAGAATTAAAAGCTTAAAACATGCAAAAACATGAGGATGGTTGACGGAAATCAGTGGATCACTTTTTGACACAACACAGATGTATATTCATTGAGTAAAACACACTGGATAACATGTTTACAGCTGAAAATCACTCAATCCTCCAGGAAGTAACATTAGCTTCAGTGGCTAGTAGTAGCTAACTCAACAATATAGCACCGGTGAGAAGAAAAGCACACAAAATAAACCAGTTGGACACGTCGGCTTGCTAGTTGGTAGCTTTATGCTTGACTTAGCACAAGAATTCAAGAGTAGGAAGAGAGTAAATGGGAGCAGCTCCCAGGCGAAGCAGCTCCAGAGCAGGGCGTTAGCTGGAAGTTTGACAGCCGCTTATGTGGTCAATGAAAGCTATGCTAACGGCAGCTAGCGTCTCGTTTTTTTCTCACTCACCCCGTGCCACAGTCGACAACACAAGCCGGTAGCCGACCAGCCATGCTCGCTCTCCTTTAATCTATCTAGAGGAAAATATACCAGGCGCCCAACACCGGCGGAGATCTTCGCAGTAACTGATTTAAATCGCAGCAGCCTGAATGAATAGCAGTCTCGGCCGAATCGGGAACGCTTCCGGGTTCGGTGGAATTTCTTCTAGTGCAGAGTCAGCAGCTTCACTGGTCCAACAGCGCCCCACCGGACGGAGACTGTTACTGCAGCCGAGTGGGACACGTTAATATAACCTCTTCAAGCATGAATTATTAAAAAATAAAACAACATCCACATTGTTTGTACTCTCGAACAAGACTTAAAACAAGTCAGTTACATTTTTAAAATTTTTACAAATTATTTTCAGCAAGATACAACTATCGTGGCCACAACAAATCAATGGTTTAATAGCACTTTTTGGCAAATTATTAGGGTACGAATTTTTATGAAAAACTAATAGTTATCACTATAAAATTTCTCCAGTTGATTACTTGTACTAAGACACTCTTTTTGTATCACAAGTATATGGAAATTCATGTTTAAAGATGCAAATTTGCGTTCATATCCAGAGCAGAAATCTAAATATTGCATAAAGTCTGGATCAGCTTCAGGAATAATTTGTTCTATAAATCAGGACATGAATAATAAATGAACAAGCACCTTCTGAATATAGACAAGAACAAAACTATAAGGTTTGGTTTATGTAAATGCTGCTGAAGAGGCTCGCAGCATTAGAAAATAAAGCATTTTATACATCTTTGTTTGAAAATACTTTTTACAGGAAACATTTGTAATTTGTAGATGTTAACATTAAACCTTCACTAATTTTTATTGTGAATAATGTGTCACTGTAGTAGACACCAATAACGTTATTTATATAATAATAAAGCTTATAATTAATTCTGATATATTCCTTTCTAGTTGGAAGATTGTATGGAAAAGAATGAGTTGAATTTCAGGAAGACTAAAACACTTTTATTTTCACTTGTCAGAGTGGTTCTCTCTTAAGGCTATGAATAATAAGTAGAATATGAATAAAAATAAAAACTTAATAAGCATGAAGGAAGTGTTAAAATGCTCAAAATGAATATTATATAAAAACTCTGGGCTTGGGTGTTGTGTGAATTGCAATGGCAAAGAAAATATGCAACAATACACAAACATTTTAAACACTTTCAATGCGTTAACAACGGTGCAGGTTTCCCTCTAACTATGTTTTCTTTGTCGATTTCCCCCTGATCAAAAAATAGCACCCGACCTCATCTCACTCTGCTGACTCCACCAGATGATATCAGTGATTTAGGTGCCATCAAAGGCCAGACGAAATGGCCCTAACCCTCCACGACTGCATGGAGGGCCACTGATAAAGACGATGTATGAGCACGAATGAGCTTTAGGGCTGTGTTCTGTCTCGAGAACGCCTTACCACATTAGAGCCAATCCCCGGGCCTGAGAACATTGGCCCTTTGTCCTCGGGCAGACTCATCACTCACACAAGAGTCTCTCCACCGCACCGAGTCTCCTGAAAAGCCCTCGGCTCTGCTTGCTGATAGAAACGGTCCTCGTCTCCGTCCTCCGGAGCCAGGCCGCTTGATGGAAAATATCTATCAAGAACCGTGGGTGAAACAATTTGTTTCATCATTGTCTGCGGAGGAGCAAAGATCCACCAGGAAGCCACTATCGAGGAAGGACTGTCCTTTCACCGAGACAAAGAAGACGAAACACAAGTGGCGTCTTTTGGTCCTCTCTTTTTGGTGCAACGACATCATCTCATAATCACTGCTGAAACATTGGAATTGATCTGTTGAGATAAATAGTGAGTTTGCAGATTTTTACTCGGAGAATAACTTTTTTCTGTTAAAAAAAGAAAGAACTCAAATTAAATTTACAAGTAAAAAAACGTTCAAGAACAATAATACATCAGAGAGACTACATAATTCTTTTTTAATCATCTGAATCGACGCATAAATCCTGGATTTTTTTGTTTGGTTTTGTATTCACAAGATAAAATAACCCAACATTATTGTTGCAAATGAACTCATGAGCAATTACAGTCATGGTTTCTCACAGCACTCTTGGGTTACACTACATTTGATCATTTGCTATGACTCTGCAATTATCACTTGAGGCGACAGTTAGATAGTTTTATAGCTTGTGCAGCAACAAAGGCAAGTGGAAGCCCAATAGTGTATGACTTTGCTCTTCTAGGTGTTAAATCAAGAATATGTCAGTTTTTGAAAATGGAAATCCATCCACGAGGTGTCAAGGCTCATCAAGGTCGGATCCTATCCTGTCTGACACTGGCAGATGACAAGTTGCCAGTTCATTGCAGAGCAAACACAAAAAGACATGGATAGTGCAATCATAACCTCAGAAGTGAAGAGTTTAATATATACAATATTAAAAGCATCTATTAGAAGTTTTGCTGCTGCATTCTTGTCTGGTCTCTGGTTAGCTTTTGGCAGCTTCATCTCGCCAATATTAACTCAATTTGGGGACATGTTGCTAAGTGGCATCATCTTGACTTTGTGATTTTTCTTTACCTATGTTGCTTTCTTTCTTTACATCCTCAGGAGGTGCTGGTCCGATGTAGTTTTTGGCACAGGGATCCAGTGAAAAGGCATACACACTGTGATCAAGAGGAATGGCAGGTCATGCAGAATCAAACCAGTTGAGCCAGCAGTTGTAGTCTTAGGTGAATGTTATTCACCAGTCCGGGGTCATGCAGTGGTCTGGTCCAGGCTGTTATGGTGCAGGAGTGCAGGTTGAACAGGTCGCCCACTCCCCGCTGCAGGTGTGCTCACTCAGGTAATCATCCAATGGTGTGCACTTACAACATCCATCCATCCATTATCTATACACCGGCCAATCCTCACTAGGGTCATGGGGGGGCTGGAGTCCATTCCAGCCGACTTAGGGTGAAGGCAGGAGACACCCTGGACAGGTCACCAGTCTATCACAGGGCTACACTTAGAGACAGACAATCAAGCACACTCACATTCACACCTACGGACAATTTAGAATCATCAATTAACCTCAACATGTTTTTGGACCCTGTGGGAGGAAGCCGGAGAACCCGGAGAGAACCCACGCTGCACGAGGAGAACATGGAGACTCCACGCAGAAAGATCCCGGGTGTCCTCACCGGGATGCGAACCGGCAACCTTCTTGCTGCGAGGCAACAGTGATACCACACTTACAACATTCCAACACAAATGGCTGCCAACTGAGCACAGCTGGAGGTGGAGGGCATGACGGACAGTCCAGAGATGTTTCAGCTCCACTCATGCTCCACCCCTTATTTTTGAAGTAGTAGTTAATTTCACCCTGAGTCGGCTGGGATAGGCTCCTTGTGACCCTAGTGAGGATTAAGCGGTGTATAGAGAATGTCATGGAGTGTTCATCCATCTTTATAAACAGTCTATGATGTTGGTTTAGTTGTCACAGAAACAAAGACTAACTTTAATGCACCAAAACAAACCCTTCTTCCAAACAGGCACAACGTCCTGCTGCATGCCTGAAGTGAACCCAAGTGTTTTATCCATATTAGAGAGTTTTCTAGACATAATCAAGGCTTTTAGATTTAATTCCACCTTTTATCTCCATGAGCACAATCTCCTCCATGTGCTTCATATTCCTGCGTGTCACCATTTTGAATACTAGAGGGCACCAGCGCTCTCATTTTTAAGAAACACCCCCTGAGCCTTTTACATCAGGAGCCACCACTGTGATGACAAAACAAAAAACCTGTTTCTTCTGGCAGTGCGAGCCAAACGTCTCAGTGCTTCATTTATTTATTTATTTCTCTGACATCTCAATCATTAGATCTATAAAAACTTCCTTCCTGTAATGAAATAATCAGCGCAACAGGGTGTTTTTTTTTTTTACAACCATACTTCAATCAAGATTTTTTTATTTCCTTTTTCATCCTGCCACTTCTTGCTGAGGTATTTCACACAAGTCTGATGCTTGTTTGTCAAAGCTACAGATTAATTTCCCTCTTTTTTTTTGCTCTGCTGCAACTTAAGTTGTGTTTCCTTCTCTTTATTGGGCCTACTTACTGGAATAGAGGCCCAAGCTGCTAAAGTGGATTGAAAGTAAAGCCAGGTTGCTCAGTCATCACATCCCGGATAAATATTGAAGATTTTCCAGGATTGATTTGCACTCATAGACAATGTAATCTGTTTAATGGCTTTTAATAGAATTTCATCTCCCATCAATGATCGGGCTTTGACTTGCGAGTAATAATTAATGGGAATAAATGAGACGCATTGAAGTGGGCTGAGTCATTACATGCGATGTACAGTATCTGTAAAGCCTGACTGAGGGTAATTGACTCTCCGGAGGTTTTCTGATCTTGCCGACCTGCGATGTGCACCTGAAACAATTGCCACCCACGCCAGAATAGATAATTCACCCCTCATTTCCGATACACTTAGCCTGCACGGTAAACAGAGTAGATGAGCTTGAGGTCCCTCATCAGCTGAAGTATTTGCGCTGCCGGAGCTCTAATACGCCTGTGTTTGCGTGCACGTCATTAGAGCGAGGCAGAGGAGAGCCTTATTATTTTTAATAATCTCCTGTTTTTGCTGCTTCTTAACCCCGGGAGATCTGCAGTCGGCACTTCCCCTCTGTGATCGTCAGTCCCGACTCCTTCCACCTCCTCCCATGTGTTCGGGCCTAATGATGCTCAGTCACACGGGCGCGCCCTCGCACTGCACGATGCTCACACAAAGTTTAAGCAAGTGAAGTTAAACTGTGACTATTTAGCGACACCAAAAGCCGCGTCCCCGTGTTCACGAGGCGCCTCCCTGCGAAATTACTGCACATCTCGCTGCGAGATCCATCCAGTGGGAGCTGCTCCATTGTGCCTCTAACAATGCACCGCTGCATTGTTAGGCAGATAATTGAAAACGGTTACTTGGAAACACTATTATGGTGCTTATAAGTCAATCATCCATTACTGGTGACACACATCACAGGCACAACCGGACTGTCAGGTTCAAAATTCTTCCTGCAGATGCAAAACTAACTTACTAGATGGCTGTAAATGGTTTAATCTCACAAAAACATGGCTGCACATTTCTCCTACGATTCTATCTGCAAAAGAAAAACAGCCCAGTGGATGATGTGTAATTTGTTTTTCTCGGCACAATCTTCTGTTTCACCGACAGACTTCTCGAAGTTGCACACAAGCAGCCTCGATCATGCGCAGTAAGAAAAAACGTGCGCTTCCTCTGCTCGATAACGCACGAATCGCAGCTCGCAGAATGCAAAGTGTCCGTAAAAATCGCACGTGCACGCTCGTTTGAGAAACCACAGCGGAGGCACAATGCATAAAACAGAAGCGAGCGACGGCAGCAAAGTGTGGCTAATTTAATAAAACACCGGCGCGTCCTTAGCCTGGCTGTGTGAAGGTTAAAGACACATGGAGAGCTTTTAGACGCAAATAAACTCGAAGGGACCGCAAGCAGGGGGTTGGAATTCTTTTTCTGAGGAAAAAAAAAAAAAGAGAGTCCATGCATTATATGTGATGTGAGGTGAATTGTAATGCTCTCCAGGTCACACAATGTTCTCTGTAGTTGAAATATTTATTCCATGGATGATAATATTCCAGTTGTTGACGCTGGAATTTGCTGCAAAGAGTTCATCAAAACTGAATTAATCCCTGAAAATGTACCCTGAAAGGATCTAATTGAGTCCTAATTACTGTGCAGGGAATACTGTGCTCAAAGGGATGCTTCTAATTAATGAGCTCAAATTGATTGTTAGAAAAACTCACAGAGGCCTTAAGGGAAGAAGAAGAAAAATGTGGTGTTTGTCTACAACATCCACGAAAAGTTTCCCAAAAATTATCTGTTTCTAAATGTAGTCAATCCTGAGCTACGCTGCCTAATCTGGGAATAAATGAAATCATGAGCTGGTAATGCGTTGCCACGAAACAGACGACACGAGAGTGAGAACATCACTTCCAGCCGACCGACAGCTCCGTTTTTCTGCAACATTTATTTACATCACACATCAGCAGAAGACAGTGTTACTCTTCACAGAAGACCAATCAAAAAAAAAAGAAAGAAGAAGAAATAAAACTGCCAGGAACGCTTGTCGGATCTCTGCCTGGAGCCGTCCATCACTCGTCTTAGAGAACTGTTACTGAATAAAACAGCGTGAGGCAACGTCTGTTTGAGTCCTTCGTCGTCCACACCACACAGAAACACGATACTGTACAGCCGGAGAAACGAATCCACTTCAAGCAGTAAAATCAAACTTTGTGACACTAGTAAATTATTTAGAGGGGAGATGTGGATGTGCAAATTCCCTAAAACGCTCACCTGGACACTTATAAAATACAGTATTTGGTCTACAGCGGTGGCTACATGCAAATCCAGAACATAAAGGGGAACATGACATCACCCTGAAGCGGCTCTCGAGTGAGAATTTATTTGTGCTTGTCCTAATATAGCACTATGTAATATAAACGTTATTCAGCTCTAAGACGACTCGATATCTCTTCTCACATAGGAATATACGGAGCATTATTGTCTCCTTAATACTTCTAATAAGCTCTTTCGTGTGATGGAATCAACCGATTTTATGATCCGGGATAAATAAGCAATAACTCAAATAGGCTTTTCTAAAAACCATTTCATCATCGCTCGTATTCCCTGTAGAAGAAATGTCAATCAATACGGTATGGCAGTGGAAAATATGCATAAAAGTGACAGAATAATGTGCTGCAAGAAACCTCAGAGACCTTCGAATTGAATCCTTCGCCTGCAGCAAAGTGCAGCGGGTATAGTTTGTGTTCCTAATCAGTTTGAAATCAGAAAAATGGAACAACAGCTACGGCAACGATTAAGAAATTAAATCAACAAGTGCTGGTTTAAGTCATAAATCAACAAAAGGCCACAAAAAAAAGCTTCAAAAATATTAGTTTCTACGATCATTTCTACCTTTTACAGCATGTAGTAACCAGAAAATACAGCAGATTCTTGAAAAACAAAAAAGCGCTCCACTTCACACAAAGCAAAGAGAGATGCCTCAGCTGCAGACTGCATGGTCCTTCTCTAGCAACAAGTGCAATAAATGATTCAGAAAGCTCTGTACGCTTCCACTTCTCCAGGTTTCCAGAGTCGGTCTCAGCGGTTATGCCGTTACACACAGTTTTTTTTTTTGGTGATGCTGAGACGATAGAAAGCCGGCGGTGTTGTTCCGAATCTGCTCAGCGATCACATGTTCGGGCCCCAGGACGAACCTGGAAGAACAGAGTCGAAATGATTATAAGTTTGGTTTAGCTGCTTCTGCTGCTACAAAAGTATGTGATTGTCAGACCTGCCCTCACAGCGGCAGCAGCTACAGTTTATTTATTTAGTTTTGTCGCAAAAACAGTCTCCTGGTTTCAGAATATCTGCCACCTTTTTGGAACCTGCTCCAATTCAACTCTCAAAACATTCAATCAATCAATCAAGTGCCCTGCCATTCAGCGTGGGCGATCGTTTCTATCCATCTAATCCCATCTTTCTGAATTGTGACGGTTGCCAGTTCCATGTCTATCATTTTCATCCCCTGTCTGCCTCTCTTCCCAATAATTTTTCCAGTTGTGACAATATATTCCAGGGTCTTTTTCCTTATGATGTGTCCAAAAAAATGTCCTAATTTTGTTTAAAACATTAGTGAGGTCTTCACCCTAAGTCGGCTGGGATAGGCTCCAGTCCCCCTGGGACCCTCGTGAGGATTAAGCGGTGTATAGATAATGGATGGACATTAGTACAATAGTGATATGTCTGAAAAATCATTTCATGGTGCAGCATTTCACCTACAGCAACGGTTTGGCATTTTGAAGTCAGATTAGATGATCAAATGTAAGACGACAGCCACGTAGCAGTGAGCTTAGCTTAGCAGAAACAAGGGGAAACACTGAGCATGGTTCTCAAAAAGCAAGAACCACACGAGTACCTCTAACTAAATTTCATGTTGTGTGTGAAAACAAGCCAGGTGTCTCTTTCTGTGCAAAGCTAACCTGCAAATCTGGTAAAAATGCATCTCTTCTTCTTTGAGATTTACATTTTTGTGCACGATACCTGACGAATAACTGCAAGCTTGAGTGCTGTTGTATGTAAGGAGCAAGAAAAATTCTGCACATTTTTGATTTTTTTTGACTGGGTGCCTCAAACAACCGTAAGTGAACCTTCTTTTCAATGGCAGAAAACCAACTGTACAGCGTAAACGTGGCAGGGCCGTCTACGTCAGCGGCAGGAGCTTCAGGGCCAGCGAGACGAGGAGGAGGAGAAGAAGAAGAGGCCGGTTGGACGTCGCCGCCGAGGGGACGGGCCGCTTCCTCTTGGGGCCGTTGCAGAGCGGAGTGTTGCAGCAGGAGATGCACACCGAGTTCAGCCTGCCGGTGCAGAACTGCTGGTAGCCGGAGGAGGCGATGAGGCAGGCCCCAGAGGACGCACAAGACTTCCGATAATGTATCCCTGCAGGGGAGACGGAACCAGAGGGAAAGACAGTCATGTAGCTCGCAACATTTAACATTAATCTCACAGAAGTGGTAATTCCTTTTCCTTTCTGTAATTAGATTGCTTAGATTGAAAATGTGACTTACAGGAGTCCTGTTTTTTTTTTTGCGATGCTGCAGCATTTTATTGCACGACTTGAACTATGGAGCTATTGACTTCCTGTCTGTCCTTATTAACTGATGTTTTTCTGTGCGGTGCTACGAGATACAACAATTTGTATGACAAAACGGCCACTTTTTATTGTGCTGTACGGCCGCTCGATTTATCAAGCGCCGTTTCTCCATGTGTAATATATTGGTGTTATTTGTTACACTGTGGTACAGCAGGTGTTTTATCATTTATGTGGCGTTCTTATTGCGTTATTTATCACGCGTTTTCTTGTGTCTGCAAATGAAACTTCCCCATAGTGGACAGAAAAAAAAAGCAAAAGTTCTGATTCAATCAAATTCAGATGAAGTCAGTCTCTGCCAGCAGAGCACTTTGGGAGGAGGAATATGTGCAACTGCGCTTTTTTTTCTCCATTCTTTGATCGTCTTTGTGTGGTCCGTAGACAGCGCCGGTGTTCTGCTTCTCTGTGTGTCATTCAAGCCAAACCATATCATTAACATAGCGCTGCTACGACGTCTTACTCAAGGACGCCGCACAAAGACGCCGTTACACACAACGAACCCATAAACCTCCAATTACGAGATCTGAACATCGAGCCACCTGCCGCTGGATGTCCTTCGCAACGCCGAGGTAAAACACCAACGCGCTTGAATCAGACTGATGTTTTTCTTCAGGATTCAAGGTCAGGATTGTCACATTTAACCTCGGCGTTGGTGCAAGATATGTAACCTTTACAAACGTCTCATCGAGGGGCCAGAAGTCACAAAACTAAACGGTAAATAAAAGACGCCTTATGACTGAATTCAAATCAGTTAAAATGCTAAACTTGAACCTAAGTTAAATTTGTGTTGCTTAACTTAAATAACTTAACTTTAAATGTTAAGCCAAGATGTCCATCTTTAGACACTGGAGTGAAGCCGCTCAAAGGTTTTGATTAAATAAGTTGATGTGAATTTGAACTGTGAAGACCGACTGTGATCGTCTTCAACGTGCTCTTTTTCCTAAAACAAGTCACTGAACTGACATAAAGCTGAATTTTCGCGCCTGTTCTGACCACGAGCCCCATGAAACCTCCTCCTGGGTCGGATTCGGAGTAGAAAAATGTGCCCACTCTGCTTAAACTCAAAGAGGACAACACTTTTCTGCCCTCTCGATGTCCTTGTTGGGGAACAGTTTCGTCCTCGATAATACTGCCATCAGCAACATAAAATTTGCATACATATACTGCAATTGAATCAGGACGGTCCGATTACAGGGTCATTCGTGCAGATGTTTGCGGCACGAAAATCCTGTAGTTAATGATGTGTTAGTCTTGGAAGCTATGCTCATCTCACTACTTTAGGTTGGAGGCTAGTTAGCCAAACATGCAGCAAATGAACACACTGATTTGAAACAGGGATGCACGATAATCTGTGACCACATCGGTATTGGTTTTTCCCCACATATCGCTATCGATCCGATTAACAAATTTAGCCAACGTGAAAACCCGATGATTGTCTGACATCAGCGCCTTGGTCTCTACATTTGATATTGCTGCTATTTCACAGATGTTTTTACTGAAATGGTCCTGGACTTAAATATGTTTTACTTTTGTTACGTAGTAAAGAAGACTATGTGGTCTAATTTGGTATGGCTTTGATGGTCTCACAGTGCTTTCTTATGGTTATTTTTCGGTGTGAAAAAAATTGAATATCGGAAACCTTAATATCGGATATCGGTATCGGCCAGAAATTTTAATATCCTACATCACTAATTTGAACCTGTATTTTGCTTTTGTGTGTGTTTTTTTGCACAGCCTAACAGTTGTCATGTTGTTTTACCAACTAACTACTTAATTATAAATAAAATAATGTATAAAAGTTGAACCTCCTGACATTAGCTTTGCTGGAGTTATGTGGCAGTTATTGTAGCTCACATGTTTGAGTATACATTTCGAGGATAAATCTGCATGTTTGTCAGTCTATTTCCACAGATTCTCACTTGATTAATGACATTTTTTCCTTTGTTGTTTTTGGTTTGTATTCCCACATCACCAGCGAACTCACCCTCTACAGCCAAAGTCATTTTATATTCTGTAAGACAGCACAAAACTAATCTCATCTTGCGTCAGTGGCAGCTGAATGAAAGTCTCTCCTCTTTGACAAATGAGTTTGAATGAAGTGGTTTCGGTGAGATAGGGGGTTCGTCGGGGTTTTCGGAGCATCGTGACGACGCCAACGCGCCTCATATGAAAATGAGCGTGAAGCAAAAGCAGTGGAAGGGCGACGCTTATGTGGCGCTTCGATTTTACCGCGTGGATGTGCTGCACAGGCTGCGATTCCTGTTACGCAGCGAGCCTGCACATCAATCAATTCCTTCTCTGTCTTGTTTTCGGAGCCGAGCGAAGGAACAAAATAACAGATAATGTCTATGACACTGAAAATCACAGGAGATTGTTTTTCTGCTGAGGATTAAAAGGTGTGAAGAAGAGGTTGTCGGGTTCCCGTGGTGAGGAGTATTTTCGGTTTGATTTGTCATTTTGCCATCCAGAGACGGAGAGAAAGTGTTGACAGGTGCAATCATCGCAACTGATTTAATGTAATTTAATTGGTAATGCGGCGTGCATGACTTGAAAATGAATGTATAGCGCATATCTTTTCATTTCAGCTCATTTGCAGGTGCTTGTATCGCCTCATCTGAATGGCAAAGCAAACTTGGAGGACGTGTACCTTGTGAGTGTTCAACTCTGTCTCCGGTTTCCAGACGGTCACCTTCCTTCTCCAGATAAATAGGAACTCAAGCTTTCTACTTGGATACTTTTGGCTGGCTCAGGCTGCGTGTTTGCATCCTCAACTATCAATCTTGTCTGGCTCTGGCTTAAGGAGTATGAAAACCCAGAAAGTCTACTCATAATCCTCAGAGTTTTGTCGTTTTAAAATGAACCACAGTCTAGATCGGTGCAGTCATGGGATATGGACGTGTTTGTGAATGAGGCAGTTGGCTGTTGCTTACCATCAGGTTTGACCAGCACCTCCTTCTGACACATGTCCTGTACGTTGACGGTGCAGTTGACGATGTACTCCGGCGTGGAGCAGTCATTGTGCTTCATCTCCTCACATTGGTAGCACTGGATCTGAAGGGCATCTCCTGTGTGGTGAAGCAGAATACGCAGCCGTCACCACTTTTACATTATAGAAGTATTTAGGTAGACAGACTGATGATCAATCCCCCCAATCACTACCAGATAAAGAATGAAATGGGTTTTCAAGTCAATTTGCAAGTAAATATTTTAACTATGTTTGTTGGGAATTGGGATTTAAGCTGCTCAACCTCAATGGACATCCTTTTTGTTTAACAAATAGTCAGACAAAAAACAGGAAAATGTACATTTCTGTTAAATGAGTGAATGAATAACTTCAGTAATTAAATATTCCTAATAACATATAATATAGGAACACTGTCCTCGTTAATCCTGGTTTGTCTTAAACTCTGGTCAGAGGCCATTAAGCAACACAGAAGTCTATGTCTTGGTGGCCCATTGCAAGTTAAATCCCAACGTGACCAACGTTTAACTCTGCAGTCTGAATAGAGGCTCCACCTGGTGGCACAACCAGGTACTGCAGCTAGTCGACAGCACATTTTCTGACATGCAGTTGGAGAATTCAGGTTGTCGCCATCTTTTTGAGCTTGTCGAGCCATGGTCGACCTTTTACTTGAGACACAACATTTCAGAGAGTAGCTACCTACTTTTTAAATGCATTGCAGAGCAATTGTTAGCGTATACAGGGGATTGATTTTGATTAGGGTTGTCTGATATTTGGCAATTTTTTTTGCCAATATGCCGATATTGTCCAACTCTCAATTTCCGATTGTGACATCAACCGATACTGATATATGTTTGTTACTGCAGCCAAACTTGTTTACACGCTTCACGACGCAGTTTGATGTCGTCATCAGTAAACGCTGGTGAAATCCAGGCATTATTTTATCGGTTTTCATTATAGGCAAAAAACCCCACAACAAAATGATAATAATATTGACAGATACTAAATTTTTATGCCAATATCGGGCCAATAACATCGATGGGCAGATATTACCGGACATCCCTCATTTTGATAAATTTAATTGGTCTTGAAATGTGCATTATTAAGAAAAATGTGATCACACCAGATGCTCGATCTTAAATGACCTGGATCGAAACTGGGTCATGATTGGCACATCCCTCGTGGAAATGTCTTTCTGTAAAACACAACCTCTAACATCGTTGTAGCGTGTTTCAAAATAAAATTGCTTCTTTCCTGTTTTCGTTGGAGAGGTTTTCCAAATATTCAGGGGCTCGTATCCTGTTCCACCAACACTAGCACCGCTCACACATTATGATTGAACAGAACAAAAACCGAGCAGTGAACTAGCCATCAACAAACCTGCAAAGCTTAGCCGAGCAAAACTAACCTGCTGCATTCAAACATGATTCCAGCACTAAATGCACCGTGTACATACCGTGTAGTCTCGTTAGCTTTTCATGAAAAGAAAACTTTACTTATAGCGGACAACTGGAGGATGCAAGGCCCATTTTCTCCACGTTGCCCTTGAACGGATGATGTTTTCTTGTGTGCTATTGACATCGTTCTGCACATTTCTCATCCACATGTTTTCCTACAGCCAAGCAGCAGAGGCTTTTATACGTTTCGCTTTTGTGCGACGGCATATTCCAAACATAACTAATGGCACTCCGGCGAGAGTGCAATGTCATTCTCTCGACAGTGCTTTGACATTAATGCCCCAACCTGTACGCCCGCCAGCCGAAGGACAGCGCCAAGGTGTTGTGACTTTTACAAAGCACATAAAGAAGTCCTCGGGCGAATCGAACCTTCTCTGTTTTTTTTTTTCTTTTCTTTCTTTTACTGGATGTCTCATGAGAGGTTCAAAATTCACACAGTGAAGTGAGAATAAGGCCGTAAAGGGGAAAAAAAAGCCAACCCATAGTGGTTCCCTTTGAACCCATGGGCTTTATAGGTGATAAAAAAACCTTTTAGAAAACAAACAGGCTAATGCAGAGATGACCCACGTGGAGCCACATCCCCAGAGGTAGTAAAAAAAAAAAAAAGAAGCGCCTTCTTGTAAAGATAAAATTCGACGTTTCGTCGTGGCTTCAGCAAATTTCATCTTCTGCTTTTAATGCAGCCCGGATGAGCTCTTCTGACTGCCTCACAACCTCATTGTGAGTGTCCATGTGCACTGGCCCTGCTGAAAGGGCAAGACAGCTGCAGAAGGAGATCAACATTATGGTCCCTGTAGTGGCTAAAACTCACATCGCGGCTGTTGAAGCTGAGAAAATTGGACGGTTAGCTGTGCAGTGTGCATGATATACGTCAATGGCACCTGATTGCATCATTGATAAGAGATAAATATGTTAATCTGATTGAAGCACTGAGAGGAAAACATTGATTTGCTCACAAGAAGTTAGTTTTTCCCCCCACATACGTGTGAATGCTGCACCTGTCAGGTTTAATTACTCACATATTTTCATGATGGCAGCATCAACACACAGGATCAGAAGCTCAACCATGCCTGCCCTTTCTTTCCTAAACATCCCACTCAAAGCGATCCGTCCCCGCTGACGGACATCACTGGTGTAATTATTAAAACGGGCAACAATCATTAATCTCAGCCGAGACATCAACTGATAAAAAGTCCAGCACCACACAGCTCCGGCCTGATTAATTTCAACTAAACAAAGTCAAGAAAACCTCCATCCATCATGTGGAAGGAGACTCCAGAAGCTCTTATTTTGTGCTGGAATATCTGTCATACCGGAGGGCAAAAAAACCCAGCTGCTGAGCTCATCTTATCAGTTTCAGACAATTGCTGGAAATCTTTTTCTTCTTAGTTCCACAACAGAAAACAGATAAGGACGAAATAAATAAATCCCACTTTCCTTTCAGGTGTGCAGAAGCAATATCTTTAAATCACAGTCCCACAATTACTTTGGGGGAAAACAACAAAATAAGATCAATGAAATCTGGACAAAGCATTTCCCCCCTTTTTTAATATGAGGCCAGTTATATTCCAGAAAAGAGCAAAGATAAGGCAGCCCTCTGTGCCAACACTTACTCTGTAAAGAATAAAAAAATTTAAAGTAAATACACGCAGCAGAGGAACAGGAACAAACAGCTCGTGGGCAGCTGATAAACTCGGGTTTTAACACTTTAAGGGGAGCCTTATATCTGCCTCTCTCTGCACAGAGGACTCGCTGCGCGTAAAAGCAGCACCAAAAACGCAACATCATAGCCCCCTTTCTTTTTGCATTCTGGTTAAGTTTGCCCGAAAGTATGTTCCAGCACATGCAAGAGGATGTTCTGTTCGGCAAATACGCAGAAAAAAAAGGCAATAAATGTGGTTCAACAGCATTACATAAAGTTGGAAACATTTCGGAGCAAATATCCTGCCAAAGAGACAAAAATCATTTTCTTCTTCATATTGGCATCCCTTCCTCTGTTGCGCACGAATCTCCAAAAAAAGCCCAATCTAAGACCGTGGGTTCCAAACTGTGCCACTGGCTGACTGCAGTCTTCCCCCAAGTTGCACCTACCTGCGTCGAGAAGGACTCCGAATAAAGTCGCAAAAACGAGCAGACACATCCTCTCCCAGAAGATGCTCGGAGGGGAAACATTAGACCGAAAAAAGAACGTGTTCAGACGTTGGAGAGGCGGAGGACGACCCGCCGAGGAGGAAGCCCTGACGCGGATCCGCTCATCCTCTCTCGGCTTGGCTGGCTGAGGTGAGAACAGAGAAGAAGAAAAAAAAAAATCCCACAAAGCTCCGCAAACTCTCCTCTCCAGCGTGACTGGAGACAAATCCGGAGCGCAGAAATCATAAAGCGCACCACGTGACTGGAGCTTGACATTTTCATATCTTATGCGTTTTTTCCAGTCATGTTTTGATATATGACGGTTTTTTACGCATAGATTGCACCACTTTATTACACCAATTATCATTCTTATCAGTTTTCTATGTTAAGACTTAAGTGTTTAACTCATTTTTGTTGTTTGTGATACTTTTAATTTAGTAGGAATCCACTAGAATTCTTCTCCAAATCGAGTTTTCTGTATTTCCCACTATCGAAATCACATTTTTTCCTCCTGTGATGATGCATTCTTTCAATCCTTGACTCATTTATATTCTTTAAAATGCTGCAGTGGTAGTCAGTGTGACTTTATTGACCTGTAATTAACCTTTTCTGTCATAATTGATCGGTGCGCATCCAAATTGCGCAGCTGCATCCACAACCCGGTGACTTTATTTGATGCTTCTCCTGAACATAAAACAGTCAATCCTTAACTTTTGATCATAATCTCTTCACGTGTTTGTGATCAATAGAACAAATTACGGGGGAGGGGAGACACACAGAGAGAGAGAGTAATCATTCAAGCGTGAGTAAACTAATTGCGTTTATTTATAAGCGCGTAATTACCCATCAAGGGACTTAATGGTTATAAATCCCTGCGCAGGGAGCGCACGGGGAGCTGTCGCCGGCTTTGAGCTCCAGCTCCAGCCGGGCAAACTGTGTGTGGGAAGCGGTGATTACACGCCATGCCCTCGAGGGTGGTGGTGGAAAGATTTGGGGGGGTTTGAAGGAATGAATCACCTGCACGCATGCGCACGGAGCCAATGAAAACACACCCTGCAAGCTCGGTTCGAAATAGGAAATAGTTTCTCATATTTATTTAGGAAATAGTTACATAAAATATAGCATTAAAGTCTAGTGTAACAGACAAAATTGCACACAGTAATAATAATAATAATAACAATAATAATAATATTAATTACCAAAGTAACACTGCTGGTAACCGTTTCTCTTTACAAAGGAACCAGGAACATTTAAGGAAAAGAGGTGAAGCATGACAATCACACTACAGTCTGACAGTACAAAAAAATGTGGGTATAAATACTGGACATCTAGAAAAATACACAAGTCCTCATCAGACTCTCTTCATACAATATTAACAGTTTCATAGAAAAAAAATGGAAACACACACAGTCGGCTCTGTTGATTAGCACCAGCTGGTCAAATTCCAGATAGAAATTTGGCATAAGTCCGCCTAAAGTTCAAATATGTCTTTAAAATAAAGTGATAAAATATTTTTTTTAGCGTTAGCTCTTATCGATCAAAATAAACTTTTTTCTGTTTTTTTTCTTCTTTCTTTTATTAAAAACAAGAACCCCTAAAGGATCCCATAAGAAAAGATACATGCCAGTAGACTTAAAAACCTCAGTTGAATGATTGGCAAACAATTTACATCCTTGTTTTTTTTCTTTTTTCTTTATTATTATTTGCATATATCAATCAGCAATGCCCCATTCTGATATTAACTTATTTATTATTTACAACATAATATACAGCTATGAAAGGAAAAGTGAGGTTTGGAGAGTTCCGGTTCGCTACATGAGACTAGACTGATTGGATTTTTTTTTTTTTTGCAACAGGAACTCAAAAGAAAAGATTTTTTTTTTTTCCATATTGGTCAACCCTTTTACACAATACACATGAGTCCAGTATGTTCCCTGAGCTACCAACAATGACGCCAAACAAGTTGGTGGTTTGTTTGTACCATTCGGACACTGAAAGATCATTTTAAATCGAGGAAACATGACATCTTCCACCATTATATCCAAGTTGTCCTTATTTTTTTTACTTATTGGCTGCTGAAAAACACATTAAAAAAATTCTTAAAACAAAGAAATGAACAAGATCTTGTTTGATTTTTTACAATATTGCTTCAAAAAAAGAAGGTTTTATTATTATTATATTATTCATATAGGTTGTGAGTCCACGTGGGGGCAGTTTTTGGGCAATGGGCATCGTATTTAGCAGCAATACATAAAATGACACCTAGATCCTAGCAAACAGGGATGCAGTCGAAGCAGCACATCTGTATGCCAACGTTGTGGGTTTCGCCCCCTCCTTTACACTCCTCACAAGCTTTGTACAGTATTTGTTACAGTGCAATGATAAGAAGTACCCCAGCATGGGTAGAGGGGGTAACTAATTGCAATGATACAATATTGCTGTCCAGTCCACCACACCCGGAGTCAAGCGAAGTCCTGGTTTGGTGTTTGAGGTTTCATCCTGCAGCTCCACTAAGTGCTTCGTGTTGTATGCAGAGAGGACAGGGCTCCTGGGCTGTAAAGTCAAGACTCCATGCTCAGGTCTTTTCCAGGATTTATTCAAACCTGAGCTTCATCCAAAGCCCAAACTAAGTCCTGTTCAAGGCCAATAACAGAACAGACAAGAAACTACTTTTCGCTTGCAAAATGCAAGAAAACCAACACTTAGGAGGGTTCTGAAGGGCCGACACGGATGCAAATCTACCTGAAAATCCACTCCATGGGGCAGATGTAGCCTTCGACATCCGACCCATCAATGCATGAAACATTTTTAAAAAGAGAAAAAGTCGATCGTGGCCAAGAAGATTGGGAAGTGGTTTGAGCTGTGCCGCTGCAGCCCTGCCTTCTCTACACGTCGTTGGAGCCCTGACTGGTGCAGGAGGAGAAGCTGTCGTACAGCGAGTCGCTGAGGGAGCCCACGGGATCCGCCCCGGGCCTGCCCGCCAAGCCGGAGGAGGAGGAGGGCTCGTCGGCTTTGCGGCAGCCCTCCCCGCTCTTCCCCTCGTCGGCGTGGCGCTCGCCCCGGCGGCCGTCCGGGTACAGGCTGCCGGAGCTGCTGTGATTCAGCTTGTTTAGGGACTCCAAGGAGAGGGAGCCCGGCTGGCTTGGGCTGACGGGAATCTTCTCCATGGGAATCTCCTTCTGTGGAGAGAACAACAGAGGGGCCCCGAAATGTGTTAATTTATGTCTCCAACAACTTCCAACAGCGGAGGTGCATCTCACATTGCAATATGTAGCTCGTTTGCGGTGTTGCCCTGCAAAGCAATAAGAGTGACGCCGCTTGAGAGCGTGACAGTGATCTATATTGAGGGTTTTTATCACGCTCTAAGTGCAAATGTATGTCTTGGGCCGCATCTCGGGGCATCTGGGCTCCGCCGCCGTCCCCGTTATATTAACTGTGTTGTGCGATGCTTTATTTCTTTTATGCACCCTGCGACGGCGCGCTTTATAGATTAGCATATGTGACCCCGGGGAAATGCGGCTGTCTGTAAACGCCGTCTCAATTAGCAGGAGCAGTTTCATCTCGATGATCCGAGTCGTGACACGGCAAGAAAGTGTTATCATGGGTGTTATCACTGAACCGGATCGTGTCGTCCAAAACCAGCCTGTCTGTCTTCGACGCCTTTAGGCGACTCAGCAAGCGATTGGACTCGACGGCGAAAGTGCAAAAGCCTGCAATAACCGGCTCGCGCTCGCATCCGCGGTGACCTTATGACACCAGTGAGTCAAACACCGCCTACAGAGGGGAATGAAACAAACCTAAAAATAGTCGGTTGTTGTTTATGATGTGCCAACAATGAGTGTTGCCCTAATGCGTGTCTCAAAAGGCGCTTTAACAAGCTAGTTACGGCACCGCACAGCATGCAAACCCCTTCCTCAGAGGCTGTAAACAAAATTCCTTTTTTCGTCGCCCGGGAGTGCAGCAGATATCTACATAGGGTTTTTTTTTTTAAGTACACGGAGGAATCGCTGCAGGGGCTGAAGCAACCTCGAGGGACGCTCTGAACCTGGACCGTTTAGCATTTCGCTGAGAGGTGTGCCTCCCCTCGGACCACACAAACATCAGTGCATTCGCTCCAAAAAGCTGCGAAAGTGCTAAAAACGTGTTGCAGGTGTTCTTCGATCTCGCCAAGTTTCTCGGGTCACCAAACTTGAAGACAAAATGCAGCGTTGTTGCACCATAAAACAAAACTCCTCATAATTTGAAGGCATTACCTGCTCGCTATCTCGATGAAATCAAGTTGCACAGCTTGCATTTGTCATCACATTTGTCTCACTTATCTGCAGCTGTAACGGAAGGAAAATATATCTGCTGGCGAGGCCGCTGCTGACCTTGCAGTCGTTTAAACGGCTCAGATTAAAAAGCTGATTGCATTAGTGTTAATGTTTGGCTTTTTATTATTTTTAGCGGCGCGCTGATATCGGCCCCCTTTTCATCAAATTAGTGATATCATCAACAGCATCTACCCAGTTTTTATTTCTTTGTTGCCTGTTAGGGCCGTGCTCCAGGGACGTATTAACGCCGAGCAAGCTGCTAGCGGTTGCACCTTTCTTGCATTTGAGAGTTCAGCAGCCGTCTGTATGTTGGGCTGCAAGTGTAGAAAACAATGGCGAGGGTTGTTCTTGTTGGCTTCCTCTCCCACCGGCTACTTAATTGCATTCAACTGCCAAACCCAGGTGCTAGCTATTCAGTGATCCGATGGGAGGATGAAACCAGCAGGACTCTGAGCCCAGAGGGGCCGAGATCCTACTGAGCAGTAAAGGCGGGACAGCTGGAAATTACTTCGACTGCAACACGTGAAAAAAATAAAAAGTTGCTGAGTCACCTAATTATCTCTGACGGTGCATTTTGTTGCAGAATCAGTGGGAACATCTTTACAGCCGACCCTTTAATGTGACCTTTCACTGCAGCCACAATCGCTATAAATTTGTACAGAGGACAGAATCAAAAGACCTCGGAAGGAAAAAAAAA